TACACTATAAATGTAGGTAACTAGATGTCATCTAGTTACCTTGATCTGGCATGTTGTATTAGTGGAATAGATTCATGAGGTAAAGAAGTGCATATTGGCATATTGATAAGCTGATCTGCTTTATGATTTAAAACACTTAATCTCTACCATTCGTTTCAGCAACTGTACACAGGATCGACAGCAACTGCCACTCAAAAATCAATGGCTAATTTCCACCGGATAGCATTAGTGAAACCTTTTAGCATGTGTGAGGTTTGATGTCAAAGACAGGACAGGCTTGTTGAAATATTGCTAACTTGTTCCTGTACTGATAAAGAAGGTTGCTGAACACAACACCACATCTTTCTGAGTAGTATCTGCCTGTCAGCACGTGTACCTTGGAATATAAAAACTGTTTACATCACTGAGATATGCAGTTTTTTTCCCAGCATGCTGTGTTTACAGCTCGCAAGACGTAAAGTCTTACGGTTTATAAGAGCTGTCTTAGGATAATTACAGTGTTTAGAAAACTTGGAAACTGATTGCACTTGCTGAAAACACACAGGGCTCCTCGGCTACTGTATAAGAAACAATAAACTCACAGCCTACTTGACAGCTCGTCTCATAGACTGCTGAAAGTCATGCCTGAGGCAACGCTGAAAAGCATCCTCGGTGAATTTACCTTCCTATATAATTTAGCAATTTTTCTTTCCTTCAGTATGTACCATATAATCACACAGGATGACGAGATCAAGAGAACAGGAACTAAACACGAAACGTTTGAAAGGGAATCATGTATATAGTTACACTGCAAAAGTGTAGGTTTTATAAGTATTCAAAGATCAGTTTTGTTAATCTTTTCTCAGGAAGGGTCACTAACATGCCTATCTTGTACAGTATAGAGTACATAATCAGCAGGCTACCCATCCTAGAATTTTCATCTTGTTTCTCCTCCTCTCTGATCAGGAACATATATCTCATGTGAAGTATCAGTAATTTGTCTCTGTCTCATCTGACTGTCAGACTGCAGGTCTTAATTTCCCTCTCATGTATTTATGCTCCAGGCTCAGCAGTTGTCCGTGATGAGGCTGCAGTATGATCTGATGAAGAAATGTGAAGACCAGATATTGAAGCAAATTGAGGAGCTGCTTTGCCAGAAGAGTCATCTTATGGAGCGTCTAGTCAGTTGAAGCCTGAATTGATATTTACATCTCATGTACTGGTGGTTATGTGTAATACAGGAACCTGGATTGTTATCTACTATATAATGTCCATAATATGCAAACAATGTGAACAAGAATGTAAACTTGCTGAAACAATTAATGCCAAAGGTGAATTTATCACTCAGTGATTTTAAGTTGTGATTTTGTTACAGTTATATTAATACATATATATCACTAGCAGTAACAGTAGTGTAAGTTGCCGTAGCATCAGCAAACAGATGTGTTTGTGTTATTGTTGGGAGCATTTTCTCTTATCCTTCTTTTCTTACCAGGCCAAGATAAAGAAGGAATCTAAAGAAGAAGAGGAAAGCTTCCTTCAAGAGATCTCAAGGTTCAACAGTGACTTCAGTCTTCCAGGGAACAGAGGAACAGTGTTCGAGAGCCAAACACACACTGAGTTCCTGGACCTGGAGGGGGACGTGGAATCATTATACAAAGGTCATAAAACACTGTTTATTGTACTGTTGTCACAGGAGGCACATGTCGTATAATTCAGATGTGGCCCTGCCTGCACATTTCAAAATTATCATTTTAATCTCGGTATATTATGGAGTACAAGTAGATGAATAAATGGTTGTATGTAGATGGATTATAATCATGGTCAGAATCTTTGACACTGATGCAGTGGAGAATTAGTATGATTTCAGGAAGAATCTGATTTTAAATTACAGATAATGGTGAAGAGTGAAGGTAAATCTGATGTCAAAACTCATCACCGAATACATTTGAAAGCTTGTGTTGTATGCATTAGGCTAAAAGAAGCTGAAACGTTTTGGAAATAAAAGAGTTTATCATTTTGGAAAGAAAAATAGTTAGAGAAACCTCAAAATTCCTCCATGTGTGAATAACTGACCATCTGGTCTCAATGGAGGCTTAAACAAATATATAACATAAGTCTGGCAGGAAGTAAAATAGTTTATTGAGCAGAGTGTAAGTTTTGTGGTGAATGTTTCTTTGCCAGTATTTTTTTTCTCACATGTCAGTGCAGCAGGATTCTGTTAAATGCATCATTGTAAACTTTATTAGATGGATTTCTCTGTAAGAATGTTTGCAGAAAGAGACTGATTGGGTTTCAGAGACACAGCTTGAACTAAACTGAATAAACTGCAAAAGTTTAGTCCTTTAAGACTTTTGCTTTTAATCATGAAGTTCAACCAACAAATATGTAGTGATTTCCTGTAGGGAAACTTCAGTGCCAGTATATTGCATTTTTTGCGGCCAAACAAACTACACTTTGATATTGTTGTAATTCTTTTCATTAGTTCCACACGACTGAGGCTATAGCTCCCATCGGCTGTGACAAAGAACATCTCCATGTTACTCTTTGTATTTGGGCTCAAGGGAACACAGTTATCTGATTATCTGATTGTGTGCACAGTTAAAGTGAATTTCAAACATGCTCACATTGCACCTTTGCAGCAGATGATTTTTCTTCAGCAGCGCGAGTTTTATATCAATCTGTCTTTTCTCCCTCTTTCAATCAGAGATGGAGCTGATGAGCCATGGGAACAGTCACATGATCACTCTGCAGGAGGAGAAGCGAGCGCTCCAGCTGGAGCTCCAGGGCCTGGATGATAACCGGAAAGGTGAACAGTTTATTGTGTGTCAGATAAAGTGGTTCTGAAAGAGCATGTGCAAGACCGCTACGTTATTTTTACACTGCAAAGTGACAACACACTTCACAAGCATCTTTTGTAATTTCAAATACTTTCTCACACCCTATGAAGAACCATCACTTCCACTTCCATCTTGTTATTGATGCCCTGTCTTTGATGTCTATGGAAATCAGAGCTTGGGGGGGGGAAAAACCATCATCTATAAATGTATCTGCTGCCAAGCCAGATAAAATTTGAAAATTCAAGCATGCTGCCAAGGCCGGTGAATCTTGAGGCCAGATGTTGATCATAGAGTTTGTTGGCTTCTGGCTCAGTTGTTAGGTTGGAAGGGAGATCAGTGATGTGAAAAAAAAAAGATTCTGTGTGTGTTAAAGGGACTTTTAGTACACACACACATATTTAGTATGTAGCTACCTGGGACAAATATATGTTAACTTGCGTTTAAGAGCTGTTATTTCCCCCTAAAATCAAGTATTAAATAATTGATAATGACACACCCCACCACACTTGACTCTGCTCCACTCATCTCCTCCGCTCCGTCAGTATGGTGGAAAGCTAACAGGTGAGGCAGCACATTTATCATCATCGAAGAGTAAACCAGCAGTTTTGTACAAAGTCGGCAAACCTTTGTTCATTACTTTTCCATCTATGGTGTAGAACACAAAGCCAACCACTGAGGCGTTCATCTTTATTTTCAGTCTGTGGTCAGGAGAGAGAAAACTCAACTTTCTCTCAGATGCCTCAGCATATATCTTAACAGTGCTCCAACAGTTTGTGTCTTTCCTGTTTGAGCGAAGTCATTGTGTAATTTTTTGCTCTTCACTACAGACCTGGATCAGCAGCTGAGTTTGGCTGAAGCAACGACAGAATCTCTGAGAGCAGAGAGCCTGATTGTCAGTCAGAAACCTCTCACCGACAGCACCTGTCTGAGGTTAGTACCATCATCTGTCTGGAGGCTGAGGACGCAGACACAGTAACTGATTCACCTGCAGTTTCTCTTATAACCCTCATGAGACATAAAAGCAGTAAAAGCTGCGGGAAAACAAAAGCAAATAAAACACAGAGGAGAGAAGTAGAATAAAATAAAAGGTAAACACAGCAATAAGCTGTTAAGCAGCTCATAAAACATGTTGTTTCACAGATGTTTCCTTTGAGCTTCCTGATATTTTAAATAGTCCTTTGCTGAGCAGCTGTGATGTTGAATTACTTGAGCGCTCTCTGTTTGTTGCTGTCAGGCCCGGTGTGTAAAAGCATGACTGTCCTCGCATCAGAGGAAAGACACAGCGTTAACAACACAATGCAAGCAACCGTCCCGCACGCTTGTTGATTAAAGGTGTTTTTCACAGAGGGTGGAAGTGATTCATTCTACGAGAAGTGCTGAATAGACCAGTTAATTCCCGCTCCCGTCTGTGTTTCTCTCTCTGCATCGTTGTGGCACGAGTCCAATCCTGGAAGTGTAAATAACAGAGCATTAAGACCATTTGGCTTAATTAAGGCTTTGATGTGCAGTGTATTTCATTCAGTCAACAAGTGTAAAAAAGAGGCTAATGTGATAGATGCAGGGGGAATGAACGAGGGGCGGAGAGTTGCTTATCCACTGACTTCGCAACAAATAAATACAGTTGGGTTTCGTTGGAATCATACATCACGTTTGAACTGGGAAAAAAAAATTCGGAACTATTTCATAGCGTACAGATGAATCATACATTTAATTTGCATACAATAATTATTTCTATAAGAATTAATAGAACAGTAGTACTGTACTTAAAGACATAATGTAGAGAATGGAGACGACCCAAAATCTGTGTATTGGTAAGTCGGCTCTCTATGAGTTCAGGTGTGTGAGTGTGAGAGACAACATGTGTGTAGAAAAGTGATGATGCATTCAGAACAACTCTGACAAGTCTTTGTCATTGTTAGTTCGCTTTTTTCAGATTTATAAGATACTGGAGGAGAATGTTATTGTGGAAACCTGTTAATATGTTAACTTGCTTTAAATATTAAGCCTTATCAGGTAGAGCTCATCTTTTCTCAGGTTGTGACGGTCGTTCTGATAAAGAATTCCTTCTTCTCCATTTCTTTTATGTTTTCTCTTGGAAGATTTGACTCTTTTTGAATAATCATCTTCATCATGTGGGATGGTTTAGATATTACACATTTTGTGAACTGTCCATGCAGGTTACTACTGAATTGACAAGGTGGACATCCACATGCAGCAGGAGGTTTATGTCTGATTGGACTCTATAAGCCAACTGCACATGTGAACAGGGAGTTTGATGTAGAGTAAACCGAACCACATGTTCACTCAACTGTCGATTTTGGATTTGATCCGGGCCTTTTAAGCTCCGAGGATCGTATCGGCTAAGTTATTTTGGGCTCAGCTTTGTGAGAGGAGGCTTGTTAGTATCTTTCCAAGATGCTGTTTGTACGTCTTGTGCTGTGGTGGTTTTGAATAACATCACCGTGTCAGTGATTGCTGACTAGTAAGAGCTTAGTTACTCTGTAAAATCCAGTGTGAATGTGTCTCCGGTGACCAATTGTGATTGGATCTCACTTCCCCGCTCTAGATGCAAATAATCACATATGTCATTTGTTCTTGCTTGGACCTAATGATGTTGTTTTTCCCAGTCAGACTTTACAGATGTCAGTGAGTCACCTGTTCTACAAGTCTATGAGGCTCTGTTGGTGGGATGAACACTATTCTTCCAAACAATATGACATGGTGAATGTTGTCCTAGTTTGGTCGTTCGTGGTTCATTCACATTGGCTTGATCTAATATTTGATTTCTGCCTGTAATTGGGGGAAATCATTGTGCTCAGGTCGGGTTCGGACACAAAAAAAAGAACGCCTTTCAGGTTCCTCTCAGAAAATTGCAGCCCGAGCCGCACACTCTAATATCATTCACATCATATCCATCCTCATGAAACAAATAATGTTTATCTTCTGGCTTATTTTGAGTTTTTTTTCAGTATCTGTGAAAACAAACAGCAGCATCTTTTCTTCCGAAAAGGTTATGAGACGCGTCAATCATCAATTCTCAGTCACTAAGTCAGCCGCAGCAAATGTATGTGTTTTATAATGACACCTTTTGACTTTATGTCTGAGAACAAATTTTT